GATTGCTTTTTCCCTGGTGTGTTGCTGGGGAAAGAATGCGTAAAGTATGCAGTAAGCTTTCGGCTTTCGTGCGTTTGTGTGTGTCTATTGAAGAAGATGCAAATGTGTGTAATGGTAACTCATTGCTGGGTGCAGGGTGTCTCTTAGTTCTGCACACCCGACTAGTGTACTCTAGCTTTTGTTGTTGCCGGTGATTGGAAAGGGGACAACAAGTAGAACAAGTTGCCGGCACTAAAGACAGGCAGCAGCCAAAATGGCAACTGAAATTGCACTTAAGCGTCGAGTCAAGCGTCAAGGCAGGAAGCCGCTTGGCAAAACTTGAGAGCGCTCTCACCCAAAGGAGTATGAGTTAAGGCTAGACTGCGACCGGGCGGAGGCGAGGTGCTGCCAGAGCTGGCTGCAGTTGCTGTGCCGCGTCCAATCAAAAAGCCATTAAAAAGTATTACGCTTGAACAAAACTGTACAAAGCAGCAGATAAAAGCATTTAGAAACACAACAGAGAGAAAGAGAGAGTGTGAGAGTAAACACATAAACAGAGACAGATAGAACATAGATAGATAGAGAGATAGAGAGATGTATAGAAAGGAGCATGTATGTACTCCGGCTAGGACAATGTCGGAGTGGAGCTGCATGCGTGAGTAACTGAAACAATTTCCAACTTAAAATTCACTTTTTGCTCAAACTGAGATATTGCAGCTGCTCCCCTCCTCTCAAGACAGGTAAATCAAAAAAATATTGGCTTTGATTCTCCCTCTCCTTTTGGAGTGTGTCCTTATGTTCATTATTGTTAGGCACTTTTGAAGTAAGAAAATTTAGACCTCAGATTATAAACCCTTGTATGGCGTTATGCGCTCACGTGGAGCGTGGTTAATCGCGAAATTCTTGATCTTCTAATCTCGTTTAATGCTCGATTTACAAGTCTTTAACCTACGCCTACTGCGGGCGTGGCAAATCGCCAAAAGCCTACAGTTTTTAAGCTAAAGTGATGAAATTTCGTATCATATGCTCTTCTAAAGATCGATTAAAGTTATTTTCATACCAGGTGGGCATTTGAAATGGGTAAAACAAGAGTATATTGGCTTGGTGCAAATGCATGTAATAGGCAGAACGAGGCATGTCCGACCCGATAATTCTTAACCAGGACGGCGAACTGAGCCGATTTAGCCAAGTCCGTCTATCCAAGCAAGAGAGACAAATTCGAAATAAAAAAGCCTAACTAACTTATTATTTTAGTTCGTCATTTTGTCCCATTTCAAATATATCGATTTAAAGACATGCATTTTTTTAAGCATTACTCAAAAACTCTTATCTCTTATCTACCCTAAAATTTACCAACATTTAACAAAAAACTAACCTTGATTGCCATATTTTTATATATTTTTTTTGATTTTGTACAAACAAAAATATAATGTGAACTAAGGGATAAACGGGGTATTTTGTAGTCGAGCACGTTCCTACATGTTTTTATTTAATTTATTACTTTGACAACTCAAAAGAAAAGTTACAATAGTTTTTGTTCACTAGTTTTTTTTTAATATCCTTGCATAGCGAATTTTAATCATAAAGTATATCTATAAGTACTCTTGATTAGGTTTACGGATTTGCCTCTATAGTCTAAAGTAATTCAATTTTGAGGGTTTCGTCCTTTCAAATCAACATTGGAGCACCATAGCATTTAGTTCCAAAAGGAACAATCGGAGATAATGAAACATGTTTACACATTTTCAACAAATCAACATAGGAGCATTATATCATGCTTTATAGGAACAATCAGATGGAAATTGTACATAAGCATCGTTGTTTGGGTCTTAAGCCTGTCAAGCCTGTATTATTCAAACATTAGCTCCATTGAAGTTTTGGCCCTTCTCCAAGCGCTCGTGGTAGCACATGATTAACTACTTACTGGCCAGAGTGGACAATAGCTGGAAAACCGCAGGCCGCAAAACCTTAAGCCGAAAACTGAGCCTAAGCCAAAAATCCGAGCCCGCTGAGGGCGGCAAAGGGAAAAACAATCACAACAATTTGCCACGCCTACACAGCAAGAGGAACAAGAGAAACCGCATGAACACGCGCGCTTTATAAAATATCCGTTCGCATTTGCCGCTGAGCCGTCGACGGGCGCATTAGCCGAGGACCACCCTGCCCCCCAGCCCCGTCAATTGCACAGGCTAAACAATGGAAATCGGGCTGGCCAGGGCACAGGGGAAGAATGGATTTTGGGCAGAAGCTTGGAGTTGGGGATGAGAAAGTGGCATAAAAAGCCATTTTGTGCGGTTTCCACCGAAGGGCGGAGTTTATTGGGCGGGGGAGGCTCTCGCCTTTTCACCCTGGAATCGACAGTCGACTCGAATGACATTTATTTTATTCGCAACTTCCGGCTTGCAGACGTCTGCAAACATCCGGGCTCGTCATACTTTTTGTTTGCCTAATGTCTGCCACTTGACTGTAAGCGCGTTTGCGGCAATTAAGCAGCCCCAAAGACAAGGGCTTGACTTTGAGACTCCCATAGCCATGGGACTTACAAAGGGACCAACCAGCTCACAGACAAATGAACAGAATGGCACGGAACGGAACGGAGCGGACGGAAGAACGAGCTACCAAGCGGGCGGATGGAACGTAACGAAACGCCGGCTGCTGCGAGTTAATTGCCAGGGCAGAGGCAACGTCTTTGTCTTTTAGTTTTGCTCTTCTCTCTTGCTCGCTCGCTCTGCCACACTCATTTTTTCGTCGCTTTCTGTGTGTATGTTGTGCGGTTAACGAACCCTAAATTTATGTCTAGTTCTTTTGATCGATCAACAAATTGACTGCGAGCTGGTTCGCAAGTGGTTTAGCTTAAAAAAAAATTTTTGAAAATATTTCTTAAAAATGTTGCATACTCTTCTTCAAGTAGTTCGGAATTAGCTCTGAAACATATGCCCTGAGTGGATATTATTTTTAGCTGCAGGCACAGCATTCAGAATATTGGCCCTCTTTTATAACTTATATCCACAGGCTTTAATTTTTGTAATTTGTGAACTAGTTCAAACATATTCTCCATAATCTCCATAATATTAACTATGCTAAGCTTGGGACGTTTTTCAAAAATATAACGTGCATTCGAGTGTGGATCCCCACCGTTTAGATACCAGGAAATTTTGTTGCTTTGTCGATGAAATTAATGCTCTGTCTCTGAGTCAACTGTTATCTATGATGAGTATATTTCAAACCCATTAAGTACTCCGATTCGCAGAGGAGCAGAACTACTTCTATATCGCTTACCAAGTGATGATTATGTATCAATTGGATCTGCTGAATTGTGGTTAGGTAATTGTTTCATTTTGCTTTGGATTGGCCGCATATGACTCGATCTCTGACTAAAGGTGAACCTTCTGCTGCCGCTTACACCCATATCCAATGTAGACAACAACAACAGCTGTCTCGTTTTTTTTTGCGTTCGTGGTTTTTATTGTTTTTTTTTTTTATTTGTTCATTTCCATAGCATTTTTCATTTGACAATTTCACATCGCATTTACATATCTCTCACTCACGCTCTCTGTGCGATGCTTATCACACTCGAGGACAATTGCGGCTTTTCGAGCTATGCACGTTGTGGTAATTTGATATCATTGTTGTATAATTTGGCATTGCCTGGCATAAGTGCTGCGTAATTAGCAAGGACATGCCCACAACAGGGCCAACCACACAAAAGGATACAGCGAGACGATGAGGACGAGTGCGTTGGGGAGGTGGTTGGCAGCCAGAGAAATCCTTTGCTGACATTGCTCATTTGTCATTTTAACAAATTTATTTTGTAATGAATGCCGCACACACATACCGCATACGCATACCGCACACGCACAAGCACATGCACACTCACCAACACACATACAACACACACAGGACAGGCACTTAAGCCAACACATCAATTAATTCTGAAAGCATTAACATGCTCCGACTCCCAGCCAACAACTTAGACTCCGCATTTCGTTGCAGCCTTTGTCTCCTGGATGAAGTTCTATTCAACGTTTCCCAAGGAGCTGAAGCCCATCTTCAATGTACGCATCGCGCATATGGGCCACTTTGCCAAGAGCTTTGCGCTCAAGGAGGCGCCCAGTAAATTTGCCAGCAAGCATGCGGCCCCAAAGGCGGCCCCGCCCACCAATAGACTGACCTACACAGAGCGGTATTCGTCACATTCAATTGCTGCCGATAAGCTAGCGGATTTGTACTGACTCCTTTGACTCATCCTCCCATTCACAGCGATCCCGAGAAGCTTCAGCAGGCGAAGCGCGCCAAGCGACGTCTCTACACCACAACGGTTAGCGGAGAGAGGCGACAGGTGCAGGATCAACAGCAGCAACCAGGGGCCGAGCATAGGAAGCTAAACGGACAGCGCCATCTGCCGGAGGCAAGTGGCAGAAACAGCTTCATGAAGAGCCTCAAAAAATCGCGCGCCCTCAACATATCCGAGTTTGATAGCGGTCTGCCCGCCATCGGTGATCCCAAGCGGCGCAAGCTGGCGTAGTAACTGATGACGGGACGAGCAGGAGATGGAGATGAAGCTGAAGATGAAGCTGGAGCTGGAGCTGGGCTGTCGGCCAGGCGAGCCCCATTTATGCGCGCCATTTTCTTCGAGCGCTGTTCAAGCGTTTAATCGAAAATAAAATTGCCCCTTAGCAGCAGCTGGAGCGACAGCAGCAGGAACAGCGGGAGCGGGAGCGGGAGCGCGGTTAAAAAATGCTAAGAACCTGTCAAGCTCAACTCATAAAAGTTTAATTTTTCTCAACTTTTAAGCCCGGACGTCCTCCGGGAAAAGTTGCAACGCCCAGCTCCGCTCGCCGCTAGCATATTTAAAGCTTATCTTTACAGTTAGTTGCTATTTTATATATGTATGTATACATATATACATATATATATATATATTTTTTTTTTTTGTAATATCTTTTTAAGGCAAATATTAGAAATCCATTTTCCGCTCACTGCAGATTCGTTCAGTTTTGAAAATGTCAATCCCTGTGTCGCGCAAAGGCCGAGGGTGGATGGGCGGGCACGTGTTGGTCGCCTTTTTGTGTAACTGAAGCGCGTAATTTGTTGGACAAGCTATAAATAAATATTAAACATAAACGCATAAAAAAATCAAACGATTTGCTTTCGCTTTACATTTTTTTGTCGGTTGCTTATTTTTTTTTTTGTATCCCCCATCGAGCGACGGCCAAAAGCGTGCGGCAATATTTGCGCAGAACACGTGCCAGGATAAGCTGGCTAGCGTGGCCGTTAATAGCGGCCCTGCATGCAGCCCAATTAAAATGGGGCCAACGATTGATTTTTAATTAGCCGCCTTATTGCCGGTTTGTCTGTCTGTCTGACAGCCAACTCGAAAGTCAAATTGGCCGACAGCCAATCAAGCGTCCACCCACAGGTGGAGCCGAGTCCTAATTACATGCGAGTGTCAACATATGAAATAATATTTTGATACAGGTGCCTCAGGCACGCGGCTAAAAGGTAACCGTGCCGGTAGTGTATGCACCGGGCGGGCCTTACGAAACTATTGTTCAACTTGTGACGGATTGTCAAAACCCATCTTTATACCCTCAACCCACTAAAAATGGCTAGAGAGTTCAAATTTATGATGCAGACAGAGGGTAGCTTCGCCCATCCCATAAAGTATTTATATATTCTCGGCTAGCATCAATAGCCTGTAGTCGGTCCATCCATGTCCGTCTGTCCTCTTGGGAGAAAATATATAGTAGAAAAAGTAGAAAATTTGTTTCTCATTTGATACTCTCATTTGGCGAGGGCATAGTGTGTATGTATATAAAGGCATTATAATGTATATGCATTGAATAAATTTTGGTTGGGTTCAGAACAGGAAACGGTTCTGATCATACAGTTGACATAGGAACAATCGGCATAGACCGATCTCCGTGGTTCTCATCTTAGAATGGATTGCATTGCAACCGTTTTAAATTCTAATTTATATCCCAATCGAAACTTTGCTAGTCTCCCTATTGAAACGCATATTGATCAAAGTCAGAAAGTATTGTAGCTATAGTTATTAGCGGAATATTTAACAAAGTACACCTAGAGCCGGAAGAGCTTGGGCACATTGTTAAGGAGTTATACAAGCAAAGGCGAAATATGAGTGGGAAATTGTTGGTACTTTATTTATATTTGATGATATAATAGTTTCTTACGATTTTTGTAACGCATTGAGATGACATCTCCGACCCAAGTTAAATAGTTTTTTTTTAATCGATATCAACAGCTGTGTCTTGGAACTTTGCATAGGTGCGAATTTTGTCTCTAATAAACTCGCAAATTACGAATTTAACAATAAAAGATATATCGGACATCTGCAATATGTCTGCAAGGTCTTATGGACGCTATGGAAGATAATTTTCTACTATATGTATATGAAATACATTAAGATATAGCTGTTCCTTTATTTTATAGTATTCCAAATTGCGAATTGTTTTCCCGACAAAATAATTAATAATTGTCAATATTATAAATCATCTGCAAGGATATGAATAAGCTTTTTTATCCCATAATAGAACTGAGCTGTATAGGGTATTTGCGCTTCGGTGTTGGTTTAATAGCTTTCAGTCTGGCTGTTGGTTGGTCAATGCCGTTTGCAAAGGGTTGTTGAGTGTTTCTAATGCGATTGTACTAATGGCTCGAATTATAGACGCATTAGGGTAAATTAAAATCCTCCTCGTTCTATGACCATTCTGGGGGTTGTCTATACGCCGGCTGCCAATAAAAAGCCAACTCACTTAAAGAGCCAACGGCTTGACCCCAGTCCACCGATCGGCAGTTCGACCGTCGAGGGCTGACGACTGATGGGGTAGGGCTTATGGGGTGGATTTAACGCTTTAAGTGTGCGTGGTACGTGGGTGGTGTTGGAGCAGGAGGCGGCGGGGTGGTAGCTGTGAGGGAGAAGGTTGTAATAAAGTTGTAGCGGTTGCATCAACAATGCCATTGCCGGACTGTTCTTTTGTGGTCAGGTGCAAGTGTTGCCGGTTTTTTTTTTTGTCATATATATTTTCATTCAAATTGAATAGAGAACGCGACAGAGGTACAAAATAAAAAAAGAAAAGGTAAAACCCCAACAGCTGTCAACATTTCTCCACAAGTGGGCAGGAGTGGGAGACTTCACTTTGGTTATGACAATGCTCCGAACCGTGCCCGTTGACAATTGATTGGCACAAAGGATGTGGCGGTTGCCGGTGGCTGGTGGCAACTAACTGACGAAGGCCGCATGGATTTGACACCTTGTTTCGTCATACAAAGCCCCACTGTAATTTAATTGTTATATACTCCATCTAAAAATAAGTACGTGCCCCTCGCACCTCGCTGCCTAACTGACATGAACGTTTTTTTTTTTTGGAAGTTAACAAATGCTTAAATATTGGCTACAATATTGGCTACAATATTGGCTGGCATTTGAATTCCCTGCAGATCAAAGTTTAAGCAAAATGTTGTTGTTTAAAAGTGAAATGGGACCTAAGTATTTTATTTTTACAACTTATATTAAATACTACCTTCACACATTAGACAGCAGCTCGTACCTTGTTGTTTAATTACCCACTAGAGAGTGCGCATCTCCCTGGGACACTTATATGTGTGAAGAAGATGTACGTTAAGACGCGGCTTGGGGAAATTCCGCCCGCAAGTGTGGAAAAATCGTGGAAACGATCGGCCCCAAATTCGTTATCAAAAATCTTTGTTCATGAGTTTTTGTGAGGTGTTTCACGCGTTTCGACCAATTCACCAGTTTTTGTTTGAAATCATGGTTCAAAGATTTGGTGGTTGTCTTGTCTTACAATTCACTAAGCCCTTTATACTTTTCACAAAATCTACGCATCTTGTGGGGAAAATGCGGGTCATAAAACGGATGGCAAATGTTGACTCTAACTCTTGGACGGATATAACTCGAGACGTATAGACTGCATTTTTTCATGTGCGGCAAATGGGTGATGTTCAATATTAGAAAAACAAATGGGATCTGAGCAAGGCCGGAAAGTACCAATCAGTATAATATAAAGTATAAAGAACTTGTCTGCAGTCGAAATATGAAAATAATCTGGCGGGGCGCTAAAGCCGTAGAAGTGACTAAGCTAGGGTCTGAACAATTCGGGAATTACAATGTAATTCGCCAAGCCAATACTTACCCCAAATGACACAAGTATAGACAGGTAAAGACGGCGACTGTTCCAAACCCATCGATTGACTCAAACTCAAAACTCAAACCAAAGCCCAGGTCCAGTCAATTCCGCAAAGGTTTGCGTCTGCTATTTCATTTTTTTCTCAGCCACTTCCAATTTCCAATTATAACGCAACGCGATTGCGTGCACAAAATGACATGCTTTTATGAATTCGCGATGATCTCGAGACGGGGGCTATGGCGTTGGCGGATACGGGTGGGGTGGGGTGGCATACACGGACACCCTTTAAATTATGATTTCATTTGACGGCGCCGTTCGATGTCGGAGGTGGAGCCACAGCCTGATGGGGCACCCACACACAAACTGCAAAGAGGCCGGAAATCAGGATGAACTCAAATTATATATATTTTATGCAATGTTATGTTATGGGCTTCGCTTACTGTTTCTCATTCCATTTCTCTGTCTCTTTCTCTAGCCGTTTCGCTTACTATTTCTTTTGTTGCATTTTTATCCAATTATGTTCATTGAATTCGCATTTGAAACGAGCCAAAAGGCAAAAGGATAAGATTTTAGGGTGGAGAGGTAGCGTTTGATATGGTGGTGGGGATAGGTATAGGAGTTTGGGTTGCAGTAGGCGGCTTTGGATGGGTGGGTGGGAGTGTTGTGGCAGGGGTTGCAGATAAACTACTTAATACTTATTTAATTTGTGCCTCTGTACGCGAACCTATTCGAGCAGAATGCGCCGCACAACTGTCATAAAAATCACGCAGCGGAAATTATTTTGTCACCATTGATAATTGCATTGTCACACCAAAAACACTATTGATTGTTGTTGTTGTTGCTGCTGCTACTGCTGCTGCTGCTGCTGCTGTTGCTGTTATTATTATTATTATTATTATGATTGGAGGGTGTTGAAAGTAACACCCCGCACATTAAATCAAGTGGCTGTAGCTCTGACAGTGGCACTGCGTCGACGAACATCATACATAAATTATTGAAAAATCATTCTGCAAATAAACTCAACGAGCTGGCGACGAGACAGCCAGGACAGAAGAGAACCAGAACGGCGACGAGCCAGCCAGTGGCACAGCCCGAGCCGTAGACCCGGCTCAGGTTTGGCTTTGGGGTCGCTGCGAATGTGAAGTAAATAAAATCCACCACCAGGATGCCGCAGACATGGACACGGACACGGACACGGACATGGACTAACTGACTGACTGACTGACTGACTGGCTGACTGTGTTGATTGCTTTGACAAGACCGCAAATAAAGGCAGTAAATAACTGAACTTGTTACAGCGCAACCCGGTTAAGGGGTGGGTCAGCAGCGGGGGGGGCTGAGAGTCGCTTGCGTTGCGTATACGCCGAATGGCCGGCGAACAGTTTTAAATATTTGCACTACTACACTGCTACAAAAAAACAAATAAAATATTGTCAATTTTAGAAAAAATATAACATACTCTTAATTTTAGAAAATATTTTCTACAAATTTCTAATTAGCGCTAAGCTAAAAGTACACCTTGTTAAGCATCAAATTATTTTGATTGGTGATTTTCTAAAATTGAGATAGTTAAACTTAGTTGAGTGTAGTCAGCTCTTGCTTGTGCGGGTGAGTGTCAGGTGAAGGGCTTGTGGGTTGGGTTGGGGGTTCAGTTTAGGTTTGGTGCTTGCCCTGACAACAGTTCAAATAGCAGCATCAGACAGCCAGGCAACAGCCAACGCTGGCAAATCCAATTAATTGTATTGCGCCTAAAACTTTAAGCGGAGGCGTCGAACCACAGCCGACACCCCCAGCATACCCCCAGCACACACACACACACACACAACAACCCCCCAGCCGCACCCCCACGCCCACCTCCACACCCTTTACGCAGCCATGCCACAGCTTAATGGAAGGCGACTTCTGTGCGCGTCTCCGGCGCGTTTGTGCCCGTCAGTTCCGTTTCCGTTTGAACGAGTGCCCGTCTATTTATTTGCAAATGCAACTTGTCCAATTTGACAGTTGTCGCTTGTAAATATCAGGCCTGGCTTAGCGGGTATATGGTGGGTGGTGGGGGGCAGGGGTAGGTCCCAAGGGCAGCAGTAGCTGGCAGAGGTAGCAGCAAGAGCATCGGCGCCCAGTGAAGCGTAAAGTGTGAAAGCCTGTAACGAGGCATATTGCAATTGGATTTTGTGTAAATTTATTTATGTTAATTAGTTTCAATTTGATTTAATTTGCGCTCAAGCAGCAGCTCCAGCCAACGGCTTAGAGGGGCAGCTGCTGCTCAGCAGGCAGCTGGGTTGGATGGCTAGGGGGCTGGGGGGTGTAAGTGTGTAGTCATAACCAACTGACAATTAAAAGCACGTTAAAAACGCATTTAGCAAACGGGGCAAACGTAGCAGCACAGGCAGCGGGTCAACTTGGCTTTGGATCCGTTTAAGCCGAAAACGCCTAATGACAGCTGCATCAATCCTGTGCGCTAACAAAGCGTTGAAGAAATCACTTTACCAGCGGCGTCTGTGTCCAGAGAGAGGGAGAGACAGAGAGAGAGAGCGAGAGAGCGGAGAGTTGAGAAATGACTGCCCAAAGGAGACGCCGCCAAAATCAACGAAATGACAACGAGACATGCAAACAAATGAAATGATGATTCCAATACCAGCTCCAGCACCGCAGCTCGACTCCAACGATGACTTCGACGAAAAGTCTAATTTGTTGATAATTTGCGACCGCCGCCGCCGCCGCCGCTGACCGCCAACGATGCCCCACGGCCAGAAGGAGGCCGCCGCGGCGACTCGTTGTGGGAAATGGATGCGGCGCAAAGCTGGACAAGCGATACTTCCGCTACTTCGTAAATGGAAATGGAAATGCTGCTACAGCTTGTTGCTCTCGAAGCAAGAGAAGCACACATGGTGCTCTTTGGTGCCGTTTGGATTTATGATGCGCTGTGCCAACTGCCAATTTAAAGGCAATTTGGCCAAGAGGCGCGATTTCAGCTAAATTGCAAACAATTTGTGGGCACTGCAGCTTTTGGGGGTGAGCCGTGCCGCCACCGACACCGCCCGTTGGGAGGACAGTTGACTGATGTGCAGGGCTGGTACCTGGGCTGGCCACGACCTGAACTTGTACTAATTAATTGCCTTTTAACAGTCAATGAATAGCGGAACACAAAGCACAAAAAGTTGCGCCACCACAGCCGAAACAGAGCAGATGACTTGCAAAGGCAGATCAATGGTTCGGCAACGGGAATACTATGGAACAGTGTAAATTCATTTGTCTGTCAATGAAACATAATTCGGATTATCAGAAGGGGCAGACAACGAGAGACTTCACACAGGGGTACGAATGGAAAGTTCGATTCTTCGGTTAAGGGGGAGTGAATACCTACCGTCTGTGTTGCATGGCATTAAGAACTGAATCCAGATCACGCCAAGTGGGAGGAAATGGTACATAGGTGTAGTAGGAGTATTGAAAACGATAATGGAACATTGTCAACATAAATAGTCAACTATTCAGGAGAGTTTGTGTATTAGTAAAGCTTTACGGAAGTGAAAGAATGATGCAGTGGAACACTGTGACCGTCAAATTCTATGGCACGGGAACGGTGAGAGAGTGGATCAGTCAGACAGATACTAGAGCAATCAGACAGACACTATGACTTAGTGGAGCAGGCGAACATTGAGAGAGTGGGACAGTGAACTATCCCTTTGTGAAGTGGAGTGAAGCAAGGGAACGGTGAATAAAAATGTAAGCTGTGCAAAAGTGGAAAAATGATGCAATGGAACTGTGCGATTAAAGAGGCAACGGAATAGTCAGATCGTAACATAGGCAAGGAACTGATTGACTAGCAAAGACGGTGGAAATGCGGCGCACTGTGGTAATGGAACATAAGGTGCGCTTCCCGCCAGGTGCGTCCCTATTAGTCGGGAGGAAGCAATGAAACAGTGAGAAAGTGGAACTCTGTCCAGCAAGCAGAGTCAAGCATTCTATCTCCGCCTCTCTGCGCCCCCTCCCAGATATTGCTGTCATCAAAATTGTGTCCATTTGGCAGCCGTTGCTTTGATTTATGTGCACTTCACGCTTTGTCGCAATGATGGCGCTGCCACGCACCCCACCCCTCTCGCCACACCCACACAGTGACCAAGGCATTATCCTTGGCACGTGTGCGCACAAATTGATCCTTTATGAGCATTTTGCGGTTAATAATACTTCAATGTTTCCGCACCCCCGCCAGGTCAGGCTCATGAATCGCTAGATGCGGCAGGCGGGCACGTGCCACCGCCGACGCCGTCGCTGCTGCCGTTCCGTTGTTGACGTTTCCCTCGCCCTCGCCTAGCCGTTAAGTGTAAATGATAAGCCGTTGAGAGATGCTTGGATGGGCCCACTGTAAGGGCTAGCTCGCATTTGGGGTTAAATGTGCGACGCTGACGGTGCCAATAGGCAACGCATTTGTTATGTTTGTTTGCTTTTCAAATTTAAACAAATATATATATATATATATATATATATAAAAAAACGAAAGAAAAAGCGTTTGGCAACTGGAATGGCAGTAGGTAACGGCAACTGTAAAGGCATAGGTAAAGATAAAGGTATATAGGCATAGGTATGGGCATGTGTATGGCTATATGGCTTTGGGAGTCGCTGTTTGACATGTGACACCTTTTGTTAGCGAGTGTCAACGGCCACGCCTATTGTTTGTTGTCTGGCTTTACAGTCAGTAAAGCGCTTTAGAGTAGCGATCTTTTGGCTGCCTTTGGCAGCCTTATCGACTTTGCACCCGCTTGTATGAGTGTGTGTGCGAGTGTGTGCGTGTGTGTAAATAAATCCCAAATGCCACTTCACACTTAATTTGCTCATAATGCCCGGCGTAATCCGTCGAGGACGCAGGACAACCCCTATTAATATCCTGGCAATTACACTGACAACAACAATATTTGAAAATTGCATTAGAAGGACAACCACCACCACTTGCAACAACTACAACAACAACGAGAACAAGAGCGGCAGCCACCCGCCCGTCCCTTGGCCAGATTTTCTGCTGCATTGGCCCCGGCCCGGCAGCGCGAGTTGGATCTTATCAGCTCCTTCACATATGCCCACCGCCGCTTAATGCTTCTAATGTGACAAATTCATCCATTCCATCGGGCTGGGAGTTTAGTTTAGAGTTGAGTTGTTCTTGCCGGCGAGTTGTCCTTTTCAAGCGATGCTCAAATTCACATCGCTGATAAGACATAAGCCCCGATCCCAAACCTAATGCCAACAAAAAAGAAAACCCAGACCAATCACCATTGCTGCTCTCTCCCCGTTGATTACTTTCATAATTTGTTCGTGCGTTTTATTTATTATTTTCAATTTTTTTTTTTTTTTTTTTCCGCATTTTTATCTTTTGCCCGTCTACAAATTGCCCAGATCCCAGGGCTGCGATAGAAAATGACAACAAATGTTTTAATTTTTACTGTGCAAGGCCCAAGGATTAAATGCCAAACGGGTATTTGAACTGTTTCCATTTGATGGCACCGAAATATTAGAGAACTGTTAATTACAATCTTCAAAATAATATTTTTATTTTTACTGTTATTATTGCTTTTTTATAAATTAGATTATGTCAACATCCACTTTCTTATTTAGTTCTTAATGCAGTCGTTTTCTTGTTTCATTGATTTTTCATTATTTATAAAAAGAATTTACAACATTACAATTTAGATTGCTTTAGTAGCAGTTTTATAGCTACATTTTTGC